TAATCATGTAAAATAGTTTTTTTTGTATATTTTTCAAAGATTCACCTATTTTTGATAAACACACGCCTAAAATTTCAAATGATTTAGATTTGTAGAAAAAAAAAAAATTCAAACACTACCAGACATCCGTGATCGTCTGATCAACCCAGATTAAATCTGGGCCGTTGGACCTCATATGTTCATATGAGCTAGTGGGCTAATCCCAGCTTTTTCCATATATATATATATATATATATGGACAATAATTGAAATCAGAATTTTTCTAAGTGCAAAAAAGTGTTTAAATTTTTAAAATGCCATTCATAAAAAACTTTTAGTGATGTGATAATTGCTTTAAATTTTATAAATCTTATGTTATTTAAATTTGGGAAAATATATAATAAGACCATTTACCTTTGGTCCAAGGTGGTCACCATTAATCTTGATCATTGGATGTGAAATTGGGTGGCTTCATTTATTTCATTGACCAAGCTCAAAGTTCAAAAGAAATTTTCTCAAACTTTGTGACACACCCAAGCTATCATATTTCACATTGGATGGTTATAAGTAATTGTGACCTTACTGTACCAAAGGTAAATGGTCACATTGTATACAATCCCTTTAAATTTTTATTTGTTTATTTTTAAAATATACTCAGATTTTCAGCAAATTGGCTGAAAACCGAAAAGCTTCTTTTCTGGCCAAAATGAAAAGGCCTCTTAAGCGAATCTGATAGCATAAAAAACTGGAACCTAAGGTTGCGAAAAGGAAATTCAAACTGCACGGGCCCAAAACCCATGATGTCACAATATCCTATGTTCTGCTCCTGAAATCTGCATCGTACATGCACTGAGACAGTGTATGGGTCAGTCAGTAACAAAGACGTATCTATATGAAATCCATATGGGAAGTAAATCTCCTCCTTGCGAAGTAGAGATTGGTAATCAAATTTGGCCTTTGATCTGGTAACTATTTCCGCAGGAAGCAGGTTTCTGGACACTTCCTCCACATCCAACTGGGTAATGGACTGCAGCAAGGCCTCTTTATGAGAGCTGAAATTTCCTGGATGAAGAGATTTCCAAGATTTAAGTGGGTTTTTTAACATTTGTAGTTTTTTTTTAAGCCGAAATCCAGCTCAACCGAGAACCAGAGGCTGAAATGAGGACCAGGAGGAGCAACAAATTGTTTGAAATTGGGTTCTTCAAACCACCAGGATTTGCATGACCAAGTGTTATAGGCAAAAATTTTGGAATTAGGCTCATGAAGGCATCCATCCATGAGCACTCAGCACCCTTCTCTAAAACTCGCTGAGTCTTGTGAATATGTCCTAACCAGTTTCAATGCCCGATGGGTACAGACAATTTTAGAATCAATCCTTTATTCGTGATAAGGAACATGTCAATGAACCTTATATACAATGCATCAGCATTTAAAGGGATTGAAAGAACATTCGCTAGACAAAAGGTACTCTAAAACTATGATAATTATATCAACTCCGGTGTTTCAAAACTTGGCTGGGGCTCAGAACTCAGGCCTTGGCTTAGCCGCAATACTAAGGCAAGTCCAAGCCAACTTTTACATCCATGTTGAGCCCTCCAATAAGCCAACCAAACCCAAAAAGGAAAAATCCTCAAAAAAGGGTAAAAATTAGGAAAAAAATTATAAACAGAAAAGGTACAAAAAAGGAGAAAAAGATTTAAAAAAGTAATAAAAATAGTAAATCAATTAAAGATCATTTTCTAAAAAATTACTAAAAATCATAAAAAGTATATAGAAAACTAATTATGTCATTTATAGCTGTTCTAATCAGAGATTGAAATACTTATAAAGCCATCATAATTATTTATAAACCACTCCGATAAATCCCCAGGTTTGGGGGCTTTCGAGCTTGGCACCCTACCGAGCACGAGTAACTCGGATAAGTCCAAATTTGACTCAATGCGTTTGACAGCACTATTCAATACTAAAGGTGTTGCAGGACTAGCATGATATTCTAAAACCGAACCATGGATAAAAGGTGATACCCAGAAAGGTCACAAATAACCATACTAGAGATGAGTCCTTCCCGGTCCTCTCGTACTAGGGAAAGGTCCTCTCAATGCTCTAATGCCCACACTGGATATGGACTGAACTGTCTCCCAACATTCTGAACCCAGCTCAAGTACTGCTTTAATGGGCGAACAGCCCAACCCTTGGAACGTACCACCGACCAAGGTGGCGAAGAGCCGACATCGAGGTGCCAAACAAACCTTCCAAATGATTATTTCTTATTATGGTGGAATGTGTAATCTTAAACACAAAAATAAATAAAGAAATACATACTTCGACACATGAATAGGTGTGAATTGGATAACCAGAATTAGTACCAAAATAAGGAGAAATTGAAAAAATGCATTTCTGCTTCCATATACATTTTGAGGAGATTACATTAAATATGAAGTGACTTTCTTGAAGATAATACAGAAACAAGGATTGTCAAGGAAACTCAAACTAGAGACCACACCCTAAAGTCTGAAACAACAAATCATCAATACCCTTGGCTCACAAATGAACAAGCTAGATTGTGATCACAATAGCACTAACAAGGTCATCGATCTCCTCCAATGCATTCATATGCCTATAAAATAGTTTAGGCCACACTAGTCTGGCATCATCATGGTCATTAGAGCCTTATCCCAATTATTTGGGGTCGGCTACACAAATCTTGTTCCTCCATTCTGCTCTATCAAGGCCCATACCCTCAATGAGACCATTAGTCCCCCATATATTTCTCGCTACTTCCATCCAAGTCCTTTTGGGACTTCTACTTGGAGCCTTCCACTATAACCAAATCACACCTCCTAACTGGTGTTGTATTAGGTTTGCAATACACATGGCCAGCCCACCTAAGTCTACTTTCCCTCACTGTGTCACCTATTGGAGCCACCCCTAAGTTCCCTCGAATGTATTCATTCCGAAATCTATCCTTTCTTGACTTGCGACTCATCCATCTCAACATTCTCATCTAAGTTTCATTTATCCTATGAGTATGTTGTTTCTTGACCACCCAATATTCCGTCCCAAAAAGCAAAGCTGGTCCCACAGTTGTTCTAAAGAACTTCCTCAATGTCTCCATTATTCTTCCAAAATATCAAAAATACTCTCTTTTAGGTATTTCTTGGCTATCAACCTTAACTACTTCCTCGCTTCTACGCCTATTATTACTAAAGTTGCATTCCATATATCATGTCTTAGTCCGGCTAATTTTAAAACCTTTAGATTCTAGAGCATCCCTCCAAAGTTCTAACTTTGTATTGATGCCACTTCTAGTCTCATCAATCAAAACTTTGTCATCCGCGAACAACATACACCACACTGGTCTAGCATACCATGTTGAATTCCTTCTACAATAAAAGGAGTACAAAATAACCATCAAATATCCGAAGCTAGTAACAAGTAATGACATTTAAAGTCCAAACCTCACCCATATTGTCCTTTTGATCAATCTAATGACCAGGGTTCAGTATTATTGGCAGCAAGAAAGATCCTTAGCCATTTACACGCTAAAAGGCAAACAAAGTATCTCTTCTTGCCATGTTCGGCATCTTCAAGGTCTATGTCATTTTAAGTGGTCTATCCATACACTCCGCAATTTTCAACTAAAAAGGAATGGAAGGAAAATTGAGTTCTTTACAAAGGGAAAAATGAGCTTATGCAAATTTCAAAGAGAATTCAAATTTTACAAGCAAATACACCTTCAAGGAATATCCAAATTTCCCTCCTTTGAAATCAAATGAATTATTTTTCATTGTTGGTCAGGATAAAGGTCTGAAGTTTCGAATTTTAAAAATATAAACCTCAATGAAGAAAATAGACAACTAATTAGGCTGTCAAGGTAGACCACAACAACTTTTCAAAGCAGAAGCTGAATTGAACGAGGTTTGAACCACCCTCCCCCCCCACGCCCCCCCCAAAAAGAAGGGGAGAGGGACAGAGAGAGAAGAGACCCCCCCATGCACATTAGAAGTTGAAAGGGAGGAGGTGCATCAAGCTGGGCCAACTCGATCCCGGATGAGGTAACCCCCGCCCAACTCCTATCGTCCAGACGTTGGTCGTACGATCCGTACTAGATCATATATATATATATATATATTGAAAAAACAACTTCAATACAATAATCTCTTTTAGGCAAATAACATCATAAAATGATCAGAGTGTCATGCTTTGCATGAAGGCTGACTTTCCCTAATGGATAAGCAAAGAAGATATTGAAAGCAGGAAATATTGAATACATAAGAGTCATAGAGTAACAATTCAACATCCATGATATACTCAATAGACAAGATTCCATTATCCTGCTACAAATAGCAAACACTAGTAAACATAAGGATTGATAGAACTCATCACATAAAAAAGTAGCAGAGTAAAACGCAAGTAACATGCCACTGCAAAGGTTATAAGATCATGTCACATTCTCACCTTACCTGCTTATTACGGGGTATAGGTAGAGGCAACAAAGGCGCTTGATTTTGAGGTGGCGAAATCAAGGATGAAGGATCCAGTGATGGTGGTACAACACTCTGTATATCTCTTTGCTCAGCATATAGCATCCGGGCGGTTGATGGCAAAGGCACCCCAACTTGTAAAATTGGGTCTGGTAGAGCAGGAGCTGTATCCGACAAAATACTTGATGTGGAAGAGACTGCCATGGAAGATGCAGACTGAGACACAGACTGTGCAGGCAAGGTTGAGAGACAAGCAGCCCTAGGTTTGCTAGAAATTGGTGTCACCATGACATTTACTTCTTGCAAAGGGGACAGCGAGGAAGAGATTGTCAGTAAATTAGATGTCAGAGTTGAAGTGGGGGGAGATGACAGAGAAGCCTTGCTAGAGAGAACAGGTGATAAATCAGTAGACAGTGAAGTGGAGATCTGAAGAGGGGCAATGGTACATGGTAAACTAGAGGAAGTTATTGGGAGTATGGGCAAGGGAAGAGAACTAGTTACGTCTGACATTGTTGGCAGCTTTGTCAGGAATGATGCATGAGCATCAGGATTTGGCAAATGCTGTTGCAGGGAATATGAAGCCATTAATCCAGGTGAGGGTTGAAATGGAACAGGTTGTTGCTGAACATGAGGAAGACCATTTGAAAGTCCATAATACCCTTGCCAATACATTGGCACATTCAGATGTGCAGGTGCAGAAACCCATGGCCCTAAAATGGTACCAGTCTGGTATTGAGGCAAAGAGCCCTGAAGAGATGGTGGAGGCAGTGTTGAGCGCTCCCCATAGGAGTCTGCATCGGTCACACTACCACTTGCAGTTGATGCCAAACCAGTAGATACAGGAGTCGCTCGAGAATAATGTGACTGTGTAGTAATGCAGGTCATGGTACTGCAAAAAAAATTGAGTAAAACAAATGGGAAACATAAGATTGCAGAAAACTGACCTGTATGATAGCAGGATCATGTTGCATCTGCAGCACCGCATTCACTGGTGGAGAGGACTTCACTTGCAAGTCCTTCATAACAGAAACCAAAATAAAATAAGCTCAGGATCACGATTATCTCTGTAAGCCTGGTAGAGAAAATTATAACTGTTTCCACTAAATAGGGAAAACCCCATCCAAAAATGAGAAAAACACAAATTTAAAAGAAATCAGAAATGGTTGTATGGATATCATACAGCAGAACCAAATTCCCATTTCACAAGGCCTCTGCCTTGTGTAGCAAGAAGAGAGCATGTCAGATGCCGAACATGGGCACCAGTGTTGGATGCAGCACTTCTAAAATTAAGTGCTAGCTACCAAACCATCCATGCACATGTCCATACATAATGGATATTAACATATCTGTCATAAGCGATATATATTGCCGAATAGATTCATTCCCAAGAATCCATCTGCACAAATATATGGACATATTACCAAATAGAGTTCATTTCCAAACATTTCTTTTTTATCAGTAACCATTTCCAAACACTTCTACAAATGTGCAGTTGCTTTTTCTTTTCCTATAGGTACACAATTTGTTAATAGATAGCTAATCCTAACTAGATGTAAACGGTTGATGCAAAATTTTCAATAAATTGTCTGACTGCAAAATGACATGAGGAACAAAGAATAGTTATGAACAGCGAGCAATCATAGACCCCAACCTTAAGTTAGAACACAATGTTCTAAAATGCCGAGATCATATTCTAGGTGGTCTAGATTCTACAACACAGTCAAGAGAGTGAAGGGAAAAAATATCACTGCTTTTCTATGAGGATGTTTCCGTCATATGCCATAACAACTCACAAATATGCCCCACAAATGCAGAAAAATACGTAAAAACAAACAGAGAGACAATAAAGCTGAAGGCCCAAAAACTTTGCTTTTTTTTTTGTTGAAAATTAAGGCCCGGAATTATTTTTGGAACGCACGGTCTATAGGCCATAGGAGAACTGTAGAACAGGCAACTGGCACAAGAATCCAAGTAAGGTGAACAAAGCATATACATTGGCAAAATATATCCCAATAGCCAAAAGGAAAATTGAAATTGAGTAAGATAAAGCATCTTTGGATTTATTCATATGTTACCCAAAATATCCTTGCCTCAAAATTTCTAAACTGAGGCATACATTACATAAGAGTGATTTAAAACTAAAACTTTGCTCGGGACTCCCCCGGAACCCATGCCCAAGCCAACAGTACCACTCGCCCGAACTGCACCAAGACTCGGCCAAGTCTTTGCATAAATAATGGATACGGGCCCATGACCCAGCAAGACCCGAGCGAGTCTAACGTTTTTTGAATTGAACTTGGCACCACGCCAAGTCAAAATGACTCAGTAAGTCCGGATCCAGCAACAAAATTTTCAAACATTTTATGCAATGTTCAAAACTCCAGCCTCCAGGCACCATGGAGACCAAAACGCTTAGGTGCCTATAGGTTGGCTTCCTAGGCGTCTTGCATCTAGACGCTCAAAGTGTCAGTTAAGCACTCACCTTGAGGATGACGCCTCTATTCACCTTGGCTGAGGGTGCAAATAGGACCTTGGCCAGGGGCATTTTTCATATTTCCCCCTAAAAAGGGGGAAAGGGTTTTGGAAGCTATTTTAGCCCCAGGCCCTCTGTGTGTATTTTAGAGAGTGAAAAGCTATAAAAACTCTAAGATTTTTAGATTTCTATCAAGTTTCGAAAAGAAATTCAACATTGTACTTCCCGATACACTGCTTCCTCTCCTCTGGTGCCACCTCCGCTTCGGCCCTGGACAAAGGGAAGAAGCCAACGTTTCCCTTAAACTTGTCCCCCCCCCATAGTAACCATCTTTACCTGCCGCCTGCTCCTAATCTTGCCAACCCCCGTCCCTTCCACGCCCCTTTGTCGGCCTTCCTACACCCTTTGCCTCCTGGTCCCCCCCTTTGAACTTGACCAGTCTAGCTTCCGTCCTTTGCATGTCATCCCTTCGTTGAACCTACCCATATGCCTAGAAGCCGCCTAGTTAGTTCTTTCCACCCCCAGAGAGACGACATCCGGGGCATTGGAAGGTGGGCGCAATTCTGCTGGAGGGACCCCAACCTCCATTGTAGGCATTTTTCTGACGAGAGGATCTTTTTCTTTTTCTCATCCATGTCTTCTTCACTCAGCTCTCAAGTCTCTGCTGTCGTCCTTTAGAGGTGCCTCCCTCTCCCTGCAACAGTGGTCTACCCTTACCGATGTTTCCCATTCCCAAAAGTTCTGGGTCCGTGATGACGACATCCCCCTGTACACTTGGCACCCCCAGACCTTTTCATCCATGGGGCTAAGTGTGGTAAACCGGTGGCAGTTAATTGGAAAGCTTGCGAATATCTTCCTTTGGGTTCTGTCCTCCTCCTAGTTGAGGTCCTCAACACGTCAACTCTTCCCTCCACCTTGTGGTCATGTCTAGTGGGGGAACTTCACCTCTTTTGTGGAACCCCGCATCCCCCAACACCTTCCAACCTACCTCTAAACCCCTTGCCATCCAGAACGGCTAGACCCTGGTCGAGAGAAAGACCAAATGCCCCTCCTCGTCTCTCACCCCATCACTGCTTTCGCCGAACAGCCCTTTGCAACTCCGGTCATGTTACAAGTGGACCTTCTCACTGTCACGATGGAACTCTTCAGTTTTTGGTGACTGACACTTGTTCCAAGGCCCATCGCTCCATCTCGCCCACTCACCCTTCCACATCTGCATCCACCCTTTCACCAGCTGTCCCCACTCTCGTCCTTCGCCGTCTCGCGGGAGACCCGTTGCTCATTCCCTCGGACCGCGATGTTCTGCTGGACGCCCTCCCCTGTTCCCACCCTTTGGTGTCCTTTTCAAGGTGGTTTCATCCTCGGTCGTCCCCCTGTTGCCACCTCATCATGGAGATCCTCCTCTGTTGTGCCCCTTGGCGTGCCCCTTGCCTTCCCCTGCTCCGAGGCTACCCTCCCTCTCCGTCTTTAATTATATTTTCCCCTTCCATCTCTCCATCCTCTGTAGCCTCCCCACCTGCTTCTTTTGCTAGCGCCTCACCTCCCCACTGTTCTCCGACACCTGTGCAACCCCCTATCTCAATTTATTGCTCCCTCCCTCTCATGTCAACCCGCACCCCGTCTCTTCCCCTCCCCCTCCCCTACCTCATCCCATCCTAACCTTGCAGTCGCCACCTTTCTCTCCTCCCTCCTCCCAACCTTCATCATTCCCCATCGATTCTTCCCATGTTGTCACTATTCCCCTTGTGCATCATGACTCTCCCTTCCCCCGCCTCCCGGTTCCTTCAACCCCTGGGGCTACTCCTCTGCATTCTCAGGCTCTGTCCACCCCTCAGTTTGATCCTTCCTCTGCTGCCATCGAGCTTGCCCCCCTCCCCTCGCCTTCAAAGGTATTGTCTTCCTCTCCTCCTTTTCCCATGCCTTGTCGTAGCCACCATCGCTCAGGGAGAGCACGCCGCTTCCGATCACCCATTCCCTTCGACCGTTCCCCCTCTCCCCCTCCCAATCACCCCGAGAGCCCCTCATAACCTCCTCTCTCTCTCTTTGGATCCCGCTGGTCCATCCCTTCTTCTTTTCCTACTCCCCCACCTTTCAGCCCTTTGCAGCCCTCTTGGTAGAAGTCTACCACTCTTGTGCCTCGACTCATGTCCCTTTTAACCCTATTCGCTTTGTGTGGCCCTTTCCTTACACCTTGGAGCATGGCCTGCCTCCCGCCAACCCCACCCCCACCCCCTTGCACCCTGACTTCTTTAATCCGCCACCTCTTGCACCTATCCCCACCCCACCTACCCCTCTTTCGTCTCCCAAAACCCTGCCACCTCCTCTATGGTTTCGACTGTTCCTATTGCTACCCTTCCACCTCTGCTTTCTCCATCCCTTGCTTCTTTGGTTACCCCTATCCCCTCCTCCCCCCTCGACTTGGGACCCCTTCCGTCACCCCTTTTCCCCTCTTCCACTGTGTCCAACATCTGGGCACCATTGCCCTCGGATGGTTTCAGTAGCTCTCCTTCTTTATCCTCCTCGCCTTTGTCTTTGGGGTTTAGTTTCTGCTCCAAAATGGACAAGGCTCAGGGCAGCGTTAACAAGGTCATGGGTATGATCTGATTCAAATTCAACAGTTCCAAGGAGGATGTCGAGGCTTTCTTCAAGTCAAACGCTCAATCCAGGTTCAAAGTACCAAAGGCTCTGAGAAACTTGCTAGACTTGCCAGCAACATCAATTACGACTGCCCCCGCTCCTCTAATTTCCCATCTTCGTTGGCAGACTCTTGCGCTCCAACCACCTCCAAACGTCCATTTAGGAGGTCCTTCTCCTTGCTTAAATTATGAAGATGCTAGTTTGGAACATTAGGGGCCTCAGTTCCACCCGCAAGACTCTAACAGTCCATGACTTCTGCCTCAAACACACTCCAGGGCTTTTGGCATTAATCGAAACCAAACTTCCTACTTCAACCCTCTCCCAGGTGCGCCAGGTCTGGGGTCGAAGACCCTACCAATAGGTCACCCTCGAAGCTGTTGGGGCTTCTGGAGGCATTTGGCTGATTTGGGACCCCTCCTCCTTTACCCTCGAGAATTCCAAGATTGCCGCCCGCTCAGTGACGGTCTCCCTTTACCATAGTTCAGACTGATTCAGTTCAAAATTCTCAGCAGTTTATGGACCTAACTCCAACTCCGACCAGTACGTGCTATGACAAGAACTGGATAACGCCGCTGCGCACCCCCCTCCTACTGGGGAGCATTGGTGGTTACTTCAATGTCACGAGGTGGTCTCATGAGAGCATCTCCTCAGTTATTACTCTTGCAATGCTCGCCTTTGCCGACTTCATCGGTAGACACAAGTTGGTGGACATTTTTGTGCTACGAACTCAGTTCACCTGGTCCAACAATGCCTCTCAATCTAAAATCGACCGATTTCTCTGCTCCCATGATTGGGACACCGTTGTCCCGAGAACTTCTTCGACTGCCTTACCTAGAATTGTGTTAGACCACAAACCCATTCTTCTTGATACCTACCCCACTCTCAGAGGGCCCAAACCTTTCCGCT